AGAGAGAGAGAGAGAGAGAGAGAGAGAGAGAGAGAGAGAGAGAGAGAGAGAGAGAGAGAGAGTCAATGGAGAAACAAGCGAAGACGGACAGTACCAGTGGGCAATTGCCAATTAGTAGATTTACTAAATTACCACGTGTCCAGCATGTTGATGATCCGGGTTCAGATGTTATCATCATTCAGCTCGAGTTGGAGTTTGCTCTCAGAACTTTTGGCACTGATCGCGTTATGCTGTTGGGCCTCAATGTTATTGGCACAATATTTTTAACTGTTCGACTACAGATTTGTTTTGTCTGAGATGAGAGACAGACTGCACATGCTTGTTGGCTGAGTACCCCAATTTACGCACACGACGTAGTCAATTGGAAGCTTGTGGAAATCTGGCTATAGCACATAGCACTTTGGCAACACTGCTATGTGCTATGTGCTATAGCACTTTCAAGTATCAGCATATGGAGAGAAGTGATGCTACGGTTGGAGCTGAAGCAATGCCGTGAAGGCGTGTTTCCGCGACAGACTCTGGCTCTGGTGGTAGTTTGTAGGAGTGATGCTGTCAAAATGTTTTTCCATAGTAGACTCTCGCTGCGTTGTGCACAACGATATGGTGGCATGCACGATACAAAATTACAAATCCGTTGAACATGCAGTGGGATTGACTGGTTCCGTTTGTGCTGTGAAAAGAGAGAGAGAGAGAGAGAGAGAGAGAGAGAGAGAGAGAGAGAGAGAGAGAGAGAGAGAGAGAGAGAGAGAGAGAGAGAGAGAACAAAGCTTACCCCCCTGAGTTGCAGTAGTAATTGAGGCCCGTACGTCACCCATAATGTTTCAAACTTTTTTTGCATGTTGCTACCCCCCCTTGTGGTCACCATGAATAAGATGATGAAGGTCACGATGATGAACAAAGACGGAGAAGTACTCGATGATTAAGGTGGATGTAGGTGCTGCTCATGATGATGATGATGATGATGATGATGATGATGATGATAAGGAGGAGGTTGAGGAGGAGGAGGAGGAGGAGTATAATATCATGATGATGGAGGAGGAGAAGAGGAGGAGGAGGAGGAAAACGAGGAGGAGAAGTATGCATGCATGATTGATGGACACTTTTGTTTTGGCTGTTACTCAAACAGATACCGAAACTCGTTTTCCGGGAAGGAATGCAGTGCCTGCCATCTTTTGCGTCAGGATCGTCTCAAGAGTACTGGGAGAAATGGGTGAATAATCGTCTCTGCATCTTCTCACCGGAGAACATCCATCGCTCTCTCTTCCCTGGAACCACTCTGGACGCTGTGGATGACGATGAATTGGCTTCTGGCCAACGGGTTGAGAGTTTCAGCGCGTTTGCCTTCACGCGGCTTGTGAACTTGTCACCGGCAGAGGTGGCTTTTCTTGCAAAAGCCTCACTTCTTCAAAGGTGGTTGTACTACCTGATCCACGAGAAAAGGGAGGATATTTTACGGAGCTGGAAGATGAACTGCGGCGACGAACTCGCAGAGGATGAAGAGTTGGAGACAGATGATAAAACGCAAGCTGTGCGGAGATTGCTTTTAGTTTCGCAAAAGGCGGATGCTCCTATCCTGAGATCTTGTCATGCAACAACCCTCCCTGAAGACCCTTTTCAGCCACTTGTCTCCACGGCGTCCCGGCGGTTCCTTCGTGCAATCTCTGTATTGCGAGCTGTGCAGGCATTTATGCTTCCTGCAAGGGCACCCCAGGTGCGACACTAGAAGGAATCCTATCTTGACGTGTCTGGCGATTGGGTTATTAAACTGCTGTTTTTAGGGGTCATCGGGTACCGGGTTAATCTTTCAAGGTTGCCTGCTCTGTGCCTTGCTTGTTGATAGATGCTGTACAGCTCTGCGCCATTCCATTCCATTCCATTCCATTTCTCTCTCTCTCTCTCTCTCTCTCTCTCTCTCTCTCTCTCTCTCTCTCTCTCT